TAAAGAGACATACTAAATAGTAAAAAATTTAAGAATGCACGATATACATCACATAGCTGGGGATTGACTAAACAGATTAATATCCCCACAGAGAAGAATCATTTATGATATTTGTAATTTAAGTTTATCATCATTGTCGTGGTCCGATTGCAGAACGGGGGATGAACACAGAAAGACAGACAAAAACACACAGACACAAAAGACGGTACAAGACTGCAGCACTTAAAGCACCAGTCGTTTTATTTTTATACTGTTTAATTTGGCAAGCGTCCGCAGCTATTTTCTCATGCCAGCTATTTTCCCAGCTATTTTGGGGGTATTTACTTGGCAAGCTTCCTGCAGCTGTTTTCCCAGGACGTGACTGCCAGATGTCAGCAGGAGTTGTTCCTCTGACATAGCTCAAGAGAAAGGGGAGGGGCCGCGTGCATCCCCATCCTTCAGCGTCTGGTTCCGCGTGCAGGACAACAGACAACCTTGGCTGGCAGGCGAAACCACAGATCCTTGACTGTTTGCCCTGAGGAACAGTTCGCTCTGCTGGTCAACAAGTCACATCTTGCCAATTCTGGGAACAAGCAATGTGCTCCCGTTCTGCTGACGTTGGGTCTCGGCCAATCTGACCCAGGGGCATTTCCTTCAATCATGCTCTGTAAACTGAATAACTTTTTTAACTAAGGAGCTTCTGTGCTATTTAGAATGGCTGGTTCCTGTTAACAAATGCCAAATATTTTCATTTCCACACTATTGATTTGTCCTAGGTTCTATCAATATTGTTATATGTTGATACTTCATCTTACTTGTCATTAATGACTGTTATTCATTCAACAAACATTTACTGAGAACCTACTATAGGCCAGATATTGTGGTGGGCACTGAATTAGGGGGAATTAATACACATATGTTTAAGGCAAAATTCACAGGCTCTCGAGTTCACAGAATTCTGATTCGTGCATTTGCAATCACTGTTGCCAACAGGGCATTTCCTGGAGCCCTGTTCATCCCCAGCATGACGTAATGATTACACAAGCAATGGACTGCGGAAGCGGGCAGGAAACAAAGGTAAATAAGGCACGTGGTTCATTAATAGAGTACTGCACCTGTTGCATGAGTTCCAGCTTCCATATATGTTTGTTAAAGGCAGCAAATCTAGAACGAAGTCCAGACGATTCTGGGAAAGTTACCAAACTGTTGAATCTCCAAAGGAGAAGCAGGAACAGTAAGGTTAGAGGCCCGATAAACTCGATGACAATCTCAGTTTAGACACTAAAGCTAGTGGTGTGACCTTGGACATCTCATTTACTTTGCAAAGGCTGTTTCTTTATTAATAATATATATGCAGTGATTAGTCTACCCAAGAAATCTCAAAGTGGAGGTATGTTGGGCAAATATAAAGTTTATAGAAATTTTGATTCATTATCAATATTTCAAAATCGGGAGAATTTCATGTTAAAGTCTAACTTACCAGTTTCTATTTTTATGAAAAGGAAGATATGGCAAATGCACATTGCCACATGGCAGCATTTTCTGGAAGCAGAGAGTTGTGCCCCCCCAGAACTGGCATGTGTCTTGCAGTCCATGGCGTACCACACCCCACCAGCTTCACTTACCTCCCTGACATCACCTGGCTGCTCTCTGTAGACATTTGAGTTTGCATCTCCTGAAACAAATAGTCTTTAAGGGCTTATTGTTGTTTTTGAAAGCTAAAGGAACTGTGTCAAGTTCATATAAATTAAAAATATACATGTTGAAGGGAGAAGAGACAAATCTCCTATCCAGAAGAATTCCAAACAATTCATGTAAATACTCCACCTTCAAAGAAGTGAAACATACCTCACCATCCCTTACATGTGGGCTGTGCATAGCGACTTCCTTTCAAGAGGGTAGCACAGAAAGGGGAGAGCGGGAGAGTAACTTTACAGTGGAGAAACCTGACTAGCACGACCTCAGCCAGGTAAGCAAGGCCAACATCAACAGAGATAATCAGTCATGTTACCTGTGTATGGCCACATGTACCACACTAATGTAAGATGTTTAGAATAAAGGAAATTAGGAATGGGTATATGGAAATTCTCTGTGCTATCTTCTCAATTTTCTGTAAATCTAAAGTAGTTCTAAAAAATAAAGTTCATTTCAAAAAGATTATATTATATATATATATATATATGTATGTGCTTGCATATAAACCTATATATGAAGGCTACTGAAGAATCTCAAGGAATCAGTGGAAGATTTGAACGACCAAAGGTTTTTGGCACCCTCTTTATCACACTGGCTTTAATGTGGCTCAGCCCTGTCTCTCTCCGGCTTTGTGTCTCTCAGTTCTTGATTTCAAATTCCTCAGGCTGGGGAGGAATCAAAGTTGGGATCTATTACTCACATCCAGGGTTCTGTGAGACAGTCATGGCCACTGTACCATGCCTCTCTCGGTGACCACTGTCATAAAGAAGGAACCAGAAAGTTCCCTTTCAGCTCTGAAATGCCAAGAAAAGATTGTAAGAGAAGAGGCTTGGCTGATGAGGTCAATATCCTAAATGTTGATGACAGATATTCCAAAACAAAGGAGCATCCTTGTCATTTGCACTTGCCATTTATACATGCTAGAAAAGCTTCTGTGCTATTTGGGAAATTGTACAAAATTATATGACATTGAGATTTATACACATTATTTTCTGTAAAGATTGGTTTAGCTGTGAAGTACTCATGCCAACTCTCCTGACTTCTAGCCACAATCCCTCCCTCCCTCCCTCCCTCCCTCCCTTCCTTCCTTTCTTCCTTCCTTCCTTTCTTTTCTTTTCTTTTCTTTTCTTTTTTTTTTTTTGAGACAGAGTCTCACTCTGTTACCATGGCCTGTTTGCAGGACGGGGGATGAACACAGAACACAAAAAGACACACAGACACACACAAAGATGGTTACAAGACTGCAGTGCTGAACGCACCAGTCGTTTTATTTTTATACCCTAAAATATCGAAGTTACTTCCTTGTACGTGACCACCCAGGCATTGCAGCAATGGCCATACATTTGGGAACACATAGCCTAAGAGCACAGATGTCCCCTAACTCAAGCTTTCCAGGCAGTTGCTCGAGGCACCAGGCATAGATAACAAATCGAGATTAGCAAGGTTGGGCAAGGCAGCCACAGGGGGTATTTTTTGTCCTGTGATCCCCTGCAGCTGTGCATGTCTTAGGTCGTCCCTCCCTTGAGAGATCTTACCCATCATTCGCTAACCAGCCATCTTATGGGGCTAAGCAGCAATCAAATGAACAATGTGTTTATTGTGTGGCCTCCAGACCTCCACTTATTGTCGGGCTGGGCAGCTCTTGCCTGAATGCAGAAACCCAGGACTATTGTTGTGCCTCTAGGCAGCAACCTTGTCTGGAGCACATTACTCTTAAACGTGCTGGGCAGGGCACGTACATTACTCACTAAATTTAATTCTTAAACCAAGAAAGTATAACGTCAGTACCCAACATCCTGTTGCCCAGGCTAGAATGCTGTGGAGTCAGCCTACCTCACAGCAACCTCAAACTCCTGGGCTCAAGAGATCCTCCTGCCTCAGCCTCCAGAGTAGCTGGGACTACAGGCATGCACCACCATACCTGGCTAATTTTTTCTATATATTTTTAGTTGTCCAATTAATTTATTTCTATTTCTAGTAGAGATGGGGTCTCGCTCGTGGTTAGGCTAGTTTCGAACTCAAGACCTTAAGCAATCGGCCAGCCCCGGCCTCCCAGAATGCTAGGATTACAGGCCTGAGCCACCAGACCGGCCTCACAAGCCCTTTTATTTTGATAAAATTCTGTTAAAGGGAAAGTGTAAACTAGTCCCTGGGATAGAAAGCATGGATGTTTTGCCACGTTGACGCAGTGGCAGGGAGGTGAGGCCGATGCAGACCAGCCTGGAGAGGCATAGCGTGGCTAACGATTTCTGGGTGGCCACCACCTCAGCCGTGTAGTTAGTGCCTGGGCACAAATTAGGAATAGGCACCCTTCCTCAACATGCTTCACTTCTACTTGTTTGAAAATCGTTATAACATGCTGCTTTGGTTAGAACAAGACATTTTGCTGACGTCTGCCAGAAATTTGTCATAATAAAAATACGAATGCACACAGCGAGCCCACGGTGCCCTGTGTAGTACACAGGCTGCACAGCCATATGTCGCTGCTCTGGTGCGATCATGTATTAGGAGCATGTGTCATCTATTTAGAGTCTTGGCAGCCTCATGCTGATTTTCATACCTTATCACATATAATCTGATAAGAGTGGACATTCCAGCTACCTTGGTTAATCGTTTTGTTTACCTTCGAAGGAAATAAAGAATTGAACTCTTGGTTTCTTCTATAATCACAATTTCCTGAACCATAACAGAGGGGATAATAGCATTCATCCCACAGGGATAGTACAACCATTAAATGAGACAACACATCAAAGCACAGTGCCTGACAGATAAGGAAGCTTCCATCGTGTTTGCTTCCACTTCCTTCCCTACATAGCAACAGCAGGCAGCTCACTAGACCAAGCAGGATTCTCTGCTGAAAGGCAAGTACTTCTTGGGGAAGTACTGCTATGTATAGGGCCCTGCATTTCTATGTGCAATGGAAATGTTTTTACTTACCTTGCTTAAATGAAGCCAAATCCAAATATCATACACCCTCCGTAGACAAACTGTTAGTTCTCTTCACAAATTCTATTGCAACAAGAGTATCGTGACTTTTGTTTATTAAAGAACTAATTCCTAAATGTCATATGATGGAGCTTTAGAAATCAGTGTCAAAGACTTTTTTTTCCTTAAAAAAAAATGTTTGCTTCTTTTATCTATGTAGATTGAGATTGTATATCCTAAGTTAACTGTATTGAGTTACATTTGGCTACAGGGAGGTAAATTTAGATCATAAATTCAGAGGAGGTATTTAAATATTGACAATGCCTTTTATAAAAATACACATTGTATCCCTCTAGATGTTGTAAAGTGAAGAGGTGGAAGAAACAGACAAACTCGAGGAAGCAAACAAACGTTGTGTTTATCGAGCATTCCCGGGCGAGATTCACGGGTGCCACAGAACGGGGCCAGAGAAGTCGTGCCGGTTTGAAGTGGGGTGAGGGCTTTTATAGTCCTCTAAGCAGGCTGTGGCATTTTCCACTGCGGCGTTTGGTGGGCTTTTGGGGCCTTCTACCACAGCAACTGGGGCTTGGTAGACAGCAGCGGTTCTAGGGACCGTGTGCGGATGCAGCTTGCGGTTTGGCCCCGCATGAGCCAAGGGCATAGGGCGCGTCTCTGTCCAGCAGCGTCTTGAGTGCAGCCAGCAAGAAAGAGGGGGCTTTTGGGGCTGCCGCCAGCCTTACAGAGGTTGCCTCAGAAAGGGAAACTCTTCTGCTTAGGGTGCGTGGGAGGCCTTAATTTATATTCTCCAGTTACACATAGAACATGTCTATGTAAAGGAGTTGGCCGGTGTCACTGAAGAAAAGTGTGAGAGATCATCGTAAATTGAGGAGGAAAAAATAAATCAAGGGAGAGAAATACTATGTAGGCTGAGAAGCTACCCTGGAGGAGGGCACTCCTTGTGGAGTACATCATGATAAAGTCTGTGGGGGGAGGAGGAAGAGAAGGCGGAGGAGGCAGTCGCCGCGGGGCTGAGCCGGACGGATGCGTCTTCTTGCCCCTTCCCCCGTTCGTGCTGCCCGGGCGGGAGTAGGCGTGGTGTCGGCGGAGGGAGATGGCCCGGGAGCGCCGGCGCCAAGTAACGGGAGGTGCTGAGAGTCGCGGAGGCTAGCCGGGCCCTGGTGCCGGGCTGCCCCGCCTCTCCGGCCGCTCCGCCTCCGCCTCCGCGTCACCCTCACAGGCCGGGCATTGATGGTAATGTGTGCGAGGAAACCAGCAGAGACTCAGTGATGGGTAAATCGTCTTTTCGTTTCGGCGGGGCGGGGGCGCAGCGGGGGGGGGGGACTGTGCCTCCATGTTGGGAGTGGCCGGGCCCCATTTTTGTCTGTTACCACGCGATCTAGAAGACAGAGCCAGGGCAAAGAGACGCCCCGCCGGAGGGGCCGAGGAGGGGTGCGGCGGGCCGACGCGGGTCCGGGCGCGCCGCGGGCCCGCCGGCCCTCGCCCTCCGGGATTCGGGGGGCCGTACTGCTCCGGGAGGGTCTCGGCGGGAGGGCGGCAGGGGGCCGGTTTTTAGCCCCCACCAGCAGTGTCTACATGTGCCGTGGTTTTCTTCTGTTTTCGCTGCGTACGACCGAGGGGGACGCGCAGCCCTTAAGGTACCAGCCGAACCGGGTGGGGATTGGAAAGGGGCCCGGAGGGGGAAGGGAGGGACTGCACTCGAGCGCAGGCTTCACAAGTCGCTGCAGGCCCTCGTGCAACAATCCGAAACTACACAGCGGGTCCCCTCAACAATTTTGTGGTTCTGGTTCGCAGCGCTCTCGTCAAGGTTTAGTGTCTTATTTTGACAGGTGAGTAGAGGAAGTTCAGTTAAAAAAGAAAAAAAATCATTTGCAGCCAGGAAGACCTAACTCAATATTAGGGAAGGAATCGACCGGGATGAGGCTGCTAGGTGATTTCGAGGCAGTTTATTTAGTGTATTGGGAATGAAGTAATGTAAAGTTAAAATTAGGGGATGTCTGGAGAAATAGCTTGATGATTACAGCTCTTAACTGGTTTAACACTAATCCTTCTTAATTTTGTTTTTGTGCAATAATTGCCGTAATTTGTAAAAGATGCGTGGCTTTTCGTTTGTTTTTGTTCTGTACAGAATTGAGAATCATTGGTACTTTGATAATCATCCTAATGCAGGTGGTTCTAGGTAGGCAGGTTTCTTTTTGTTACTGCAGTTGCATGTAAAGTTTTTCAAAATTAAATGGCCCGGAGAAGGATCAAGATGGCGAGGAACACCGCAGAAAGAGTGTCTCTCAGAAAAGACAGACTTCCTACAGAAATTAGAAAGAAGCAGAAGAAGGCGAGCAAAACAGTAGACGAGGGCAGAAAGGAGGGGTACCTGAGACCCTGAGACTCCACAGGAGAAGGCTGCGAGGAGAACTGAAGTAGATCGCCGGGGGCACCCGGAGACCGAAAGGAAAGGGTAGTGCATAATCACGCTTTCCCCTCCTGCCATCTGGACTGCTGGTGCTCCCCAGCGGGTAGACCTGCGGACACCAAGCCAAGAGACGGCGCCAGCGTAGCGGTGAGCCTGTAGCAGACCAGCACCGAGATCCAAGATCCCTCCGGGCACCCTGCAAGTGCACAGACCGAGCTGCGCGGCAGGCGCCAAATATTGCCACTCCTTCTCCCTCCCCAGACCCTACCTGTGCTGCCCAAGAACAATACAGCCACCACCAGAGGCACCTCCAGGAACGGGACCTTCTTTAGACCCTACAGCTGACCTAGGAACTCAGACTTGTTGAGCCCCTAACTCTGCCCACCTCCAGGTATGCTGACGGTGTTTCCAGGAGAATGGTGCCGCACTCAGAGGCTGAGAGACAACAGCCCACTGGTCCCTGATGGGTGAATTGGGACCCGAACTCCTCCTCCCTGGTGGGGATACAGTTTGAACTCTGGGAAACCCAGAGGTTCGACCGTCAGACCAGATCCCGGCACCCCAGCGTCTATCATTGCCCGGGGCACAGAAGGTATTTGTAACAGCCCAACTGTAAGGTGTATTGCCTCCAGGGGCCAGATCAGACGTCCTTAGAGAGGGCAAAACCCTCCACCAAGGGAAGGCCTGTGCACCAGCCCAGGCAGCGTTTCTGTGCAGGAACCTCCCACAGCATCACGATCGGGAGCCTGGTGAACGTGAGTTCTGGCCTGCCTGGCAAAGCCCACAGAGTACTGCGGAAGTTGGGAGCGATGAAAGAAGCGAGGCCTGCTCCAGACTGTGGTCTCAGACCAGCCCCACACGGGCAAACTTGGCTGAGGGACCCATGTCCACCTGCCCTGCGACAGCTTTTCCTGGAAGCATAAGAACAGAACTTTGACCCTGCTAACGCAATTGTGGTGCGGTGAGGGCAGGCTTACCCAGAACCCAGCTCCCCCAGACAGAGCTGATAACAGAACAAAAACAACAGCCTAGCTGTTCCTCAAGCCAAGCAACCACCTACTGAACCAGGACGGCAAATCCCCTGCAAGCCCTTTCATGCGCCCTACTGACTCATTTACAGGATCGTGGCTCGACTCGCACCCACAAAGACCACTAACAGCTCCAAGAAACTAAACATAGGCCGTGTTGAATACCCAACAAAATACCCCTAAAGGAAGAAACAAAACTGATCGACATGGAAGAAATCAGCGAAGGAAACTCAGGAAATATGAAGAACAAAACGGAAAACAACCCACCAGAAGAGTCAACCCTAGAACGGACACCAACCCAAATCAGGCAACCAAAATGACAGAAGAGGAATTTCAAAATGTGGACAAAGAACACTCCACCGACTGCAAACAACTCAATAACCAACACAAAGAACCAAAAAAGCCTCAGGACTAAACAACCAAGTTCCACCTAAAGAATAGACCAACGAAGAAATTACGAATCCCTGGGAAATGAAGAATCAATATCAGGGAATACAAAATAACAGTGGAAAGTCTCAAGACAGGGTATCAAAACAGAAAGAACTCCAGAGTAAGATAACACCCTCCACTAAATATTAAAACCACTAGAGATATGAAGCATGTAGAAACAGAGATTATATTATTACAAAGCTATAAGAAGTGGGATTATGCTGAAGAAACCAGTCAATGTGAGGTCATAGGTTACCATTTAGAAGGGAAAGGACAACACCCCAAGATTGACAAGCTATTTGAAGATATAATACAGGAAAATTTCCAGGCCTTGCTCAAAATCTCGAATACAAGTTCAAAAGCTCAGAGGACCCCTGGGATAATTCAAATGCAAACAGGAAGACACTACGAACAGTGCAGTCATCAACTGACCACAATTCAAATAAAAGCCCTTCCTAAGAACCTGTAAAGACTAAAAAGCAGGACATAAGGGAAAGCAAGTCCGAATAAAACTTTCGTAATGAGACTTTACAATCAAGGAGAGACTGGAGCCCATTCCACTCTCTGTAAACAAAACATGCCACCCTAGAATTTCTCCCTGCAAAAACTAAGCTTCACATATAGGAGAAATAAAGACATTCTCAGACAAGCAAAGTTCAAGAGAATTACCCAAAGACAAGACCAGCCATAAAGAAGTACCAACGTTTACGCAGGACACCATAATAAAAATCACGAAGTATAAAAAACCAAACAAAGATTAAGGCCAGATAATACAATGCTCAAGAGAGAAATCAACAACAATCAACCCAACAGAATGAACAGTAAATTACCTTACACTATCAGTTCTCTCATATATGGTGAATGGCTTAAACTCTCCACTACAAAGAGACATAAAGCGGCTGAAGGATAAGAAATCAGGCCAAGTCTTAGGTCCAGGAAACCACATTAACCTGCCAAGGATCATGACTAAAAGTAAAAGGGTAAGATCTATCAGGCAAGTGAAGCCAACAAAGGCTGGCAATGGAAAGTTTCTAATGTTCAGACATTTAGTTTTTAATCCAACAAGGAATATGAAGACAAAGAGGGGTCATTATAGTAATGAACGTGAAGGGCACACTTCCACCAAGAAGAGATAACAATTTTAAATATTTATGCCACCCAACTTAGTCACCCAGTTTCATAAGCAAACCTTACCCTGATCCTAGCAAATGGATTAATAGCACTCTAATCCAACTGAGACTTCAAATACCCCTGTGGCCGCAGATCCTCAACAGAAAATAATAAGAAATAATGGACTTAAACAAACCTTGGAACAACTGGTCTGACTGAACATCTCAGGACATTCTAACCAAAATCCACGAATATCGTCTTCCTCAGCATCACGGACTTCCTAAGATTGACCATATCCTAAGGGCACCGAAGTATCTCAAGAAATTAAAAAATAAATCAATAAGTACCTTCTCAGATAAGTGGAATAAATCAGAAATCAACCCTAACCCCCCAAGAACTCACATTTTACACCAAAATTGAAATTAAACACCTCCTACTAAGGATCTCTTCATAAATGAAAGAAAAGATGGAATAAAAATTCTATACTCCTACACTGCTGGTGGGCACTGCAAACTAGTTATCAACGATCTGTGGAAAGCAATACTGGAAGATACTTAAAGGATACAAGTGAAGTTACAACATTTGATCCACAATCAAATTGTGGACATCACCCAAAAGATCCAATGACACTCTACAAAAGAAACTCATTGATGTTAACAGCACAATTCATAATTGCAAGCATGTGAAACAGCCCATGCCCATCAATCCAAAAAATATTATAAAATTGGTACATATAATACCATGGAGTACATCAGCTCTAAAAAACAATGGTGATATAGCACATTTAAATATTCCTGGTGTGAGAGCTGGAACCCATACTATTAAAGTGAAGTCCCAAGAATGGAAATAACAAACACCACATGATATGCCCAGCAAGATGTATAACTGAACAGCACCTAAGTGGTCACGATAGGTCTATCAGTAATAGGGTATTGGGCAGGGGAGAGGGGCGGGTAATATTACATATATAAGTGAGATGTGCACCATCTGGGCAATGGTCACTGGCGGAGACTCAGATTGTGGGGGAGGGGGGAAATGGCATTTATTGAACTTAAAATCTGTCCCCCCCAATTAATATGCCGAAATAAAAAAAAAAGAAAAAAAATTAAATGGCCCCAGTTTTCAGGAGGGAAACTTCATAAATAGTAACTTATCAGATGACT